GAACTTTTAAAACTAGATCCATTCCTGTTCTTTCTACTGTGGCCAAGCTCCTGAACCCTAAAGCTCTAAACCCAATACGTCAGCTACAAAGTCAGCTACAACCACAAAGCACTCCAGTGTTACTCCAAACTCATGGCAGATGGGAGAGGAAGAAAGCCCACAGAACAGTGACATTCACCATTAAGTGCTTTTGTCACCTATGTAATACTGTAGCATAAAAAAGATTTACAATGTTTACAATATACTATATTATATGAATAAAAATATTAAAAAAAGTAAACCCACTACTCATCTTTTGCAACTGCACAAATATCATGCAGTTCACATTCAAAGCCTCTCCCATAGGTAGGTACAATATCGCAAACCCTCACATTTACAACATGTACACTCAACAAAAGCATTACATACTCCTTATTGCCAGTTAACAATGTAATTATATTACCACCTGATGTGATCTCCCCCTCTTCAGTACTGTCAGAAATTACAGGCTCCTCTTCGCTCTCCTCTTCAAAGGAAGAAAGGTCACTGGTGTGGACAGAGCTGACCGTGATGTCACTGAGTACATCCATATCTGAATCTATTAACATGTTTTCTTGCAAAGGAAAAAGTAAAAACAAAGAGCTGTAAGGCAGCACACTGAGTCTGTTAAACTTTTCCTACCAAAACATCAATTTTGTCACTGAAAACAAAACTATGTTAAGAATTAAAAATAAGAAAAAAAAATTATAACACTGTAATGACATAACCAGGCTAACTCTGGTTTATTCAAAACAAAAATCACTGAGGCAGAACTATAAACTTTAAATGAGGACTAAAATTATTGAGAGAACTTGCCAAATTAAGATGACCAATCACATAGCTGAGAAATCAAAGGTCATCTGACTCCTAATTCAGCTACCTCAGTTCAGAGAGACAGATCAAATCCAATTGTCATTAGCAGACCACTTTGCCAGAACTAGCAGAAAACTTACATTCCAAATATACTGATTCAATTCCTGAATTAACTTAAAAACCTCACTCCTTATCCCTATTTTGAGGAAGAGCATTGCCCACACCATACCTTCTTTAGTGCTTTCAGTTGTTTTGTGTTTATTGCTATTTTTTTCTGGAACTAAGTGTTTCACTGGTTCCGACTCTTTTGCTTGTTTTTCTTCTTTTGACTTCATAGTATCATCACTTTTCTTTGAATGATCAGATTTCTTGTCAAGCTTTTCCTTCTTTTCTTTTCTTCTTTCACTTTTTTCACTGCTCTCTGATTTCTTGTCAGATTTATCCAATAATTTACTCTTCACATCTTCACTTTCCTGTGGAATATCTTTACTTGTAAACGTATTAGCATCCTTTGCTGAATTTTTTGTTTCTTCACTTTGGCAGGGAAGCTCATTTAAATCTTCACACTTTGCAAGTGTTTCAGCCCCTTCTCCAGAAAGGTCACAAATTGCTTTGTCTGGCAAGTCCTCTGCATTTCTCTCTTTATCAGTGCTACCATCCACACTCTGCTGAGATGAGAGTTTTTTTGCAACTTTGTCAATGTTCTTGGGATTGGAGGCCTCTGTTGAAGCCCTGGCAGCACTTGCTTCTTGATTAAGAGAAGTTATTGTTTCCAAAATAGACATTGCATCACTAGCTACATTAGCACTTGGAGTTGTAGCAGAGACACCTTGAATAGTAAGAAAGAAAAGATTTTTACTTCACCATAGTTTCCGTAATTCTGTTCTGATAGAGGGTTAAACATGTGAAAAGAAACAGAATAAGCACTCTCTACAAAATACATATACCTAACTATAATATTTGATTTATAACTATAATTTATAATATTATAAATTCTGCCTTGAGAGATTTTGGCTAAAAAAAAAAGAACTGAACAAAAATCTCCAAGATGTTGCATTCCTGCAGCAAACACCGTACAATTACTAGAGACCCATTTTTCTCTGTGACACACCACAGTTCCTGAGCTCTGCCTAGAGAAAATGAGGATTGTCAACGTGAGGGACATCTGAGCACAGCCCTTGTTCAACTTCACCAGCATGACAAGTAGGATGATGACTGTGGCTAAAATACTACGTATATAATATATATTCCATGTATATATATGTATATACACTGCAAGAGAAAGGCAGTAGCTCACACCTCTAATATCTCCATAAATGTAATGGAAAATTGACTCAGCATATGGACTATATAACAACAGGATTATCAGAAATACCTTAGCACTCTTCTACCATTTTAGAACCAGCTCTGAACTTGGACAACTAGACTAGTACTATCTACTGCAGGTGACTTGTTAACCCATTTTAAAGGAAGTGGGCCTCACAGGAAAAAGGCATGGATTTAAATAAAGGTTACAAATAGATGGATGGCTGCAGAGCCTCTCAGAACAGGAAAGAATAGACAATTATCTGCAGGAGTGTTCAGAAATTAATACAGGTAATATGAGGACCTTAGCCATCCAAATTTTATGACACACAGCAACTGCACAGTTAACTATCTCCTAAAGAATTCTCTCATCTCTACTGACAGACAAAAAAGTTGCATCATTCTTCTCTTACAGTCTAGGTCTTATCTGATTCTCTAATACTGAGACCAACTCTTCTCCCCACAATAAACTGATCCCTCATAATCTCAAGCAGAAGTGAAAGAGTGACATGGTCATCACAGTGTGACATCTCTTGCGCTTTCTACCTTTACACATAGAGTAAGAGACAAATGTTCTGGCATGCTGCCTGGAGCTTAGCTTGCTAATACTGATACTAACAATGTTATGGCAACAGAAAACCTAGTCAATGATTCTGCACTCCCAAACCCCATTCTTTTGTTAACAGACTACTCAGAAATAGCAGAATACCTTGTACTGTAACAGAAGCATCTGCTTTCTCCTCACTTGGAGACGTACTGGGGCCTGCCTCCTCTTTGTGATTTAATGTGGCTAAAAATTCATGGACAGCTTTTTCCACCTGAGGTCTGAATGTGTGGTTGATCTTTGGGTCCACAACCTGAGAAATAATTCTGTCAATTCCCGATTCCAACATTCCAGACCTGGAACAAAGTTACATAAATTAGTATGACAAATTAGTTTTTAATAACATATTAATGAAATATGATCATTTAGATGTGCTCCAATGAAGCACTAATGTTTTCTGAGCATTCTCACAGCTACGCATTTAGCCTGTGCCTTACTCGTAAGAAAAAATGTACTAGAGAAAAAAAACAATCCAAGCACACGGAACTAATCCAACAAGCAGCCTGTTGCTATATGATTAGTGGTCACACTTAAAAGTGTTATCTAACTGCAAAAAACATATTTTGGAAAAAATTTAGAAGAAACCTTGTATCACCAATTACCATAGCAAAAAAGAGATGAATTATAGACGGCATGAGGCATAAATAACTACTAAACTACTGGTCACTACCCTAAGTTACTCTCTGCCCAGTATAAGGTGGCAAGTTCTGCAGCTTTATAGAACACATTTAATCTTCACTAAGATAGAAAAGAAAACCCACAGCTATAAAGCTTATCTCTTTATAGCCCTTGTAGTCTTCTGTTGGACACATGCTACCTCTTGTTGTCATTGCTTCTTTAACAACAAAGAACAGTTGCTCTCCTCCCTACAAACCAAACAGGCCTCAGTACAGGTTACCAATGGTACCACCACAGCACAAGTCATTAAGTTTGTCCCCAAATCCATGGTTTGACCCAATTTAATGGCCAAACTCTTTGGTACCCTGAAAAAATTTTTTAATGTCTCTTGTGAGTCTAAAATTTGAGAAGAAAGACTGGAGGAACCTTTGTGAAATAATGTAATACAGGTTAAACTGTCTGACATACTTTTAACATAACACCAGTTCTTAAAACCTCTTCTCTGTCCAGCCAGATTTAAATCCATTTTTCCATGTCGTGACTTTAGCTTTATACTTTGCAGAGTTTAGTCTGTGGAATGTTTCTCCTTAGCTCTAAAAATGATAACTGCAATTTTATTAACATCTCCCTTAAAAGAAAAAGTAAAGGTAGCCTTTAGCTAGGGGGTTATATCTCAAGTCAAAATCGAGGTCCCCTCCCTGCATAAACTTGGATCAGATCAAAGAACATCTGCAGTCTCATTCTGACTAATACTGATGGAGAGTTACTACCCCCAGTAGTAACTTTTTAAACGCTGAGAGAGGAAAATAACCCAACTTCTTCAAAAGTATCTCTGAAGAAAGCAACCCACTTTACATTGACCCAGACCCTCTGTCACCTATCACAGCACACAGGCATGTTCATAGAAATCCCAGAGCTATAACTTACTTGAGAACCTGCTGTCTAATGTTATTTCTCAGCTGGTTCTTGTTGAGATGAGGGCTCCAGGTATGAGTTGCCAAGTGGTTGGAAACAAAGTTGTCAACGCGCTGTCTCAAATTCTGGTAGGCAGGCTAGAAAGCAACAGCAGAGATGTTGGACAGGGAGCATCATGAAAGCGGCTGGTTATCCTCCCGGAGGCCAGGCTGGTACAGCGGGAGCCCCGGTCGGACCCCCGGTGCTGTGCGGGCGCAGCCGCTGCCCTGCGGCGTTCAGCGCGTTAAACGCTGCCCGGCCGGAGCCCGCGCGAACCGGCTGTGTGTGACCGTGCGTGCCCGGCCGGCCAGCCGCGCTCCCCGCGCAACACGGGGCTCCGGCTCTCCCCCGACCGCGAGCGGAGCCGGAGCCCCACGCGGGCCCAGCGGCCGCTCCGCCCCGCCGAGCGCGCTGCCCCGGACGGGGCCCGTCCCCGACCGGCCACAGCCCCGGGCGCTGGGACCCCCGCAAGCCTCCGGTCCCGCCCGCCCGCACCTTGGTGTCCACGTCGGCCAAGCAGTCGCGGCGGAACTGGTCGAAGAGCCCCTGGCTCTTGAGGTGGTTAACGATCATGGACACCAGCTCGGGCTCGGCCGCGCCGCCCCCTGCGCCGGCCCCGGCCCCCGGCAGCGGCGGCGGCTGCTGAGGGGGCGGCGGCGGGGGCGGCGGGGGCTGGGGGTTGGTGGCCATGGGGGCAGCGGGGCGGCGGCTGCTGCCGGCGGTGCCGGCTGGGCCCCGGGACGGGGCTGCTCAGCGAGCAGCGGCGGCGCTGACCCCGGAAGCGGAAGGGGACGGCGGGAGGAAGCGGAGCGGGGGAAGGCGGAGGCGCCGCCGCCGAAAGCGGCGCCATCGGCGCGGGACGAGCACTGGCGGGGCCGCGCGCAGCCGCCGCGGGCCCTGCACAGGGGCAGAGGGGGCGGAGCCGCTCGCGGCCCCCGGGCCGGTGCGACCCCGACCGGCCGGGCTGAGGGGGGAGAGGAGCGGCCGCGGCGCCGCTCGGCCTCCTCCCGCCGCGCCCACGGCCCCCCGCGTGGCGCGGCCGCCGCTGGGCGCTGCGGACACCGCGGACGCGCCCCTCTCCCCGGCCGCCCCGCGCCGCTGCCGCACTCCCGGTGGCGAGCCCCGGCCCCGCCCTGCGGCCCGCCCCTTCCTGCGCCCGCCGCCATCACCGTGCGGGCGGCGCCGCGCGCTTCCTCCCTCAGGGGCGGGGCGGGGCGGGGCCGCGCGGGGTCACCGGCGGCGGGGCGGGACCATCGGGATCATCGGGTCTGGGATCATCGGGTCCGGGTCCGGGTCCGGGTCCGGGTGCCGCTTGGGACGACTGGGGTCTGTTCCGGGGCACTGGCAGTGTAACAGGCACTGCCTCCGCTCCCGCCCCGTCCGGCCTCAGGAGCCGCCCGCACTCCTGGAGAAGGCGGCTGGAAGATGATGCTTAAAATACTTGAATTGAAACTTGCCACCTTTACACATCAGTGTATTCTGAAGTGCTCTTGTGAAAGAAATGTTTTCAACCCATTTCTTGTTTCCTGGTTACCTTCTTAGCAGTTGTTTTTCATGTGACAGTGTTACAGTCACAACTGTCCAATGTGCTGAGGCAACGAATATTAGATATTAGATATATATCCCAATACATTTCTCATACTAGATATTAGAAAACATTTTTCACTTTTCATATTTTGGGTGGTCAGGCGTTGCCATGAGTTGCCCAGCAAGGTGGTGGAGCTGCCATCCCTGGAATTGTTTGAGGCATCTTGACCTGGTGCTGTGTGATACAATTTAACCTGTAGCCCCTGCTATATGTGTCTACCAACTGGTTATAACTAAAGTTGCTTTTGCATTTTCTTTTAGGACAGTCTAACTTTTAAATATTTTGGCATATATTTAATACATAAAGTCTCAGTAAATTTCATCATGTCTTCTAAGTAAAGTAGACAGCAGATGTAGTTCCAGATGCAGTTCCTAAACTTCAAGCAATATTTAAATTGCTGAGAAAATACTAAGATATGAGACAAACAGAAATGAAATGTATATGATATTGTGGGAACAAATTGTTATGTGACTTCAGGCTGGACAAGTATTTGAAAGAACAAGTCACAAAATTCAGGGAAGGTGCTTGTGGCTCAGAATCCCTGCTCTGTAGGGGACTGGGAAGATATTTTTTTCTTTCTGGCTCTAGGCTTGCTTTTTTTCCCTGAATATGAGAACTTCTCCAGGGCTGGGCAGGGCCATTTCAGCCATTGCTGTCACATCAGCAAGCCATGCAACTTGTGATTTCAGATTCACATATTTTTGTCTCATGTTTTGTCTCATTTTTGTCTAACTGGGGGCACAAATGGCATGATTTTCACCTGAAGCAGAAATAGGAATAAAATACTATGATGAATTTGGAAATACTGTTGCTTGTAGTAGCATAAATAAAAATAAAGCACTGGCAATAGCTCACTCCTTTTTAGACAATGTTGCAGAAATGTTATTCTGTGGATGCCTACTACAAGTGTCAAATTCCGAGTGGCCAAAGTGCCCAGCTGATTCTGAGTGTTCATAGATTTAAACTCTCTTGAGGTCAGTTTTATACCATAATTGATAAAAGTGGTAACTGAACTTGACAGGTTAGTTGATGTTTTCTGGTTTCTGTTTTTCAGTGAAACACTTTGTGTGGTTTTTTCCTCAAAACTTCGTTCATGATGAGTATGCTAATAATGAATCTAAATTTATGAAGTAATTGAAATCCAGTTGACAGCTGGATTAAGAAAGTAAAAAAAAGAAGGTAAAAGTCCTTCACTTTGCATGGGAGTCAAGGATTAATCTGAACAAATTTGGTAGTGATAGGAGATGCCCTTCCTCTATGATGAACTCTATTGCAAAATTCTGTGCTCTGCAAAGATAAAGTACTGCTGTCAGTACTGAGCCTACAAAGGTGATGTTCCTCTTTAACCACTGTCATCTTTTATAGACAAGGCTACACAGAAAGGGGAGCTCTTTAGTAACATTTTGAGTTCTGTAGTAAAAATCATGACTTTTCAACAGGAATAACTGAAATGCCTGAGAAGATTCTTGGATAGTAAAAGCTCTAAAGCTGCCCAACAGCAACAAGAGATCTGTCCTGGATGAATTGCTCACTTCTTCTTGTACATATGTGGTAACATGTCTGTGCCTTGCACCATCTGTGTTACCATCCATCTCTGAGGTTTATTATCTTTTAGTGTGTAGCTTATTGGTATGTTGTTTATTATGGCACGATAAACCCCAGAACTGTGGATGCTCAATTCATTTGTTGTATGAATGTGCATTGCCTGATGCATATTTCATTTTTGTTTCTCCCTGTGCATAAACAGTATACTTTTATGATTGTCTCTAGTTAGAGAAAGCCTCAGATTTTCTGGTGCTTACTGTTATGGAATTTTTCTAAAAAAAAGGCAAAATTATGCCTAGGAGCAGCACTAGTAATCACAATCTAGTGCACTGTGTTTTGGAGCAGCAGAGAAATGGTGCCAGCCTTGCTGAGGTTTTATGCTTCATCAATAACAGCATATGTGGCTCCAGCTGAGCTGCAGCATGAAATGCTGGAGTTGCAAGACTGAAATGTAGCCAAGGCACGGACTGTACCTTCAGCTGGGATGTGACTGCAGTGATGTCCATATCCTTACATGGGAATAGCTGCAGTAGATAAAATGTTATTGGACTGCCATAAATGGAGGATATGATTCTGCCATCCTTTTTTTTTTTTGGTATGTAAGTAAAAGCATTTAGATAAACTTGTTTAATGGTGCATGCCTGAAGTGCTCTTTCCGGCTTTGTAACCATGTTTCCTTCCAGGTCTCAGTCATGTTTTTATTTGTTCAAACAGGTATATATATCTTTTATTTGGCTGGCTAGTAGGCCCTGTGTAAAATGTGAAGCTTGTGGCATAAGTGAATTATCTGTAGAACAGCAAATGTATATTCCTTCAATGGGAGGCTGCCTGTCCTGAGTGTTTTCCACAGGCAAGCCTTTGGCAAGTGCAGAAATGAAAACAGTGACTAGACAACACATTTTAAAGTGATGAAAGGAAATCTTTTATTTGGAATAGGCTGTCATGACCTTGTACTGACACTTCTAAAACTTTTTGGTCACTTCTAAAGAGGTTCCTTGAACAAAACTAAAACTACCATGAGACCCTGGTTCTCCCAGCAGGGAGAGCAGGATAATTGTTGTCAGTGATGATTAAGCTCAGCAGAGATGGACATTTGGTGGCTTCTCAAATTGGCAAGTTAAATAGATAGATTGAAGTTCTTTGTAAAAATACTGAAGTTTCATGTTCAGTAGCTAATATAACTGGTTGCTGGGAAGATTGTCTGGTTATAATTTGAGAAAAAGTTGAGAAGTCTTCTAAATCACATTTTATCGACCTGCATTTTTTAATACTTTTTATTGATATACAGAGACATTAACTCATTTTATTTTATGCAGCTTAACATGGTAGAAGCATTTAAAGTTACAGATCTGCATATAACTTTATCTGAAAAGTTAGGGTTATTTTTTCCAATTTCAGAACTTCAGTGTGACACCAAACTCACACATAATGTTTTGTAAAGTATATTATTTTGAAGTTACAGCTATGCCTCTTCTCAATTTTTCTTATTTTATGTCTCTGTCAATGCCAAGAAATTGAGTTTCTGGATGCCCAAGTTTTGTGAGATGAATAGAGCCTGTTTAGAGGGTGACATTTGAGAGCAAAAAAATATTACTGTCACAGATAACTTTAATACACAGTGTTACATGACTTTTTGTGAGTGTTTTTGTTGTTGTTGTTGTAACCAAGAAAGGAATCTTCAGGGGCAGATGGAACCTTGACCTGCCTGTGAGAGGAAAGCCCATCTGTGTGGCCGTGGCTGTGACTGGTGATACAAGGTTGTGTTGTTCACTTTCATGGCAATGAGAGAAGGGACAGGCACATTACAGCTTTCTTACCTCTTCACAAGCAAACAATGACTAATGGATGTAATATTGTTTGGATTGTTATTGGCATCTAGGGAGTCAGACATCTAATTCCTGCTAATGTGATTGATGATCTCAGCACATCTTTTTTTTTCCCTTTTTTTCCCTTGCCTTTTCTTTTCCTTTTTTGAAATGTAGGTTCCTGCATGCTGGAGAAATATCACTTTATTTCTCCATTCTGAAGAAAAATGTTAGAAGGAGTTACTGTTCTCCTTTTAATAGAGTTTTTACTTTGGTGTTTGTTTTTGACTGGAAAATACATGTTTTTGCTATTTGTGTATAGGGAGACAGAGAAAATTTAATGGAAGCTCGTTCTCCAGAGAGCACAAGAGATTATACATTCTTTCTACACTCTTTCACTTTTGCCTGAATGTAATTTTAATGGTAAGGTAAAATGGTACAGCTCAAACATGAAAGCAGAGTGAGTGGATACACAAAAGCATGACGCATTTTATATCAGCATTCTTTGCTGACTACAGCAAGGTGAAATCAAGGTGGAAGCATTGCTTAAATGGAATGCATGAAGCTTAAAGTAGAGCTGATGGACTGAACTTTGCTTTAATTTATACCTGGTATAGTTCCATTGAAGTCAGCAGGGAGATGGATCAAAGCAGGACTCTGCTAAATAATAGGGTGCTCAAAATTGCTCATGCCATCATTTCTGCAACCTTGGTTGTAATCCTCAAGCAAAAATGAGAGTTATTGTATCTAGTGCAAAAATAGTATTTTCTGTGGAAAATTTTTAAAGTGTTATTTAGGAAAATAGCAAAAATAAAAAATAATAATTTGGGCTTTTGTCTTGTTCTCTTGTGTTGGGGGTGCCAAAGGTCTGGAGGAATAGGAATGTTGAGTCACATTTCAAGAGCATTCTTTAAGGAGAGGTGGGGTGGAGGCAGGGAAGGAGCTGGGTCATTTTGTTGCTGTTGACTGCCTGCCATGCTTGGTTCCTGGTGCTGCTGAGCACAAAGAGAGCACTGTCTGAGGTCACTGGGAAGGTGGGTGTGTGGAAGGGGCCAGGGAGAAGGTGCTGTAGTGAAACCCCACCCTGCTGGCTCTGGCTGCAACTTGGGGCAGCGGCTCAGGTGCAGTCAGGGTGGACCCATTGCCAGTCTGCTGCAGATACCCCAGCACAGGCCTGGCATCCTTGCTTGTCTCTCTGTCTCGGGGGCAGAGAGAAAGGAGTGTGTTGCCCACCTGAGGCTGACACCACTGTAAATCCAGGTGGAGTGTCTGAATGGGAGTTGAGATTTACTGCCTTCCCAGAGTGCCCCCAAGCTATTGCACTTCAAGGACAGCTCGTGGGACTTGTTCTGAAGAATGTGGAAAATGTGAGGAAAAAAAAATCTTCAGTGAAACAGCAGAAATAATAATGCTTGCTCAAAATCTTTCCTCCTCACCTATTGATTTACACAAAGATGATATGAATTTAATGTCTTTAAGATTTGTGCTTTT